CATTTTACCCTTTTTTTTTCTCCGTCGACGTAAACATTGTACTTAGGCAAAACCCAATACAAAAACTACAAAAGCTGCCATCGCTAAACCAAGCTTAGGATGATCAATCCCCGCCGGAGCTTTCAATGAAGAGGCGCTGTTCGGCGAGGGTGCAGGAGCCATGGACGGTTTTCCGGACGGGCTTGGGGCTGGAGCAGCAACAGGTGTGCGAAGCACATTAATATCAACCTTTTGTCCGGCCTGGCAGTGGCCAGGTGTGCCGCAGATAAAGAGGTGGTGGCCTTGGGTAGTTATGGTGATGGAGTCGTTTCCAGTGGTGAAGGTGGCCAAAGGTGCAGAGGCATTGCAGGCCCTGTACATGGCATGTGTTACTTGCATCACATTGTGGAATTTAGGATTGTACTCAAAATCTGTGCAAAAAAAATTAATCAACACATGTTATTTATGATACAAATGGTAATAAGGCAACTAAATCCTGTAAAACGATTTTTTTTTTCCCTTTTTACTTAAAAATAATATTTTCCAAAAATGTTTATCAAAAAAATTATTTACCCAAAAAAGTCTTATCAACCGATTTGATCAAACCTGCACTAAATCCCTTACCAACTACGCTACCACCCCTTAAATGATTGTTTTTGTTTTTCTTTGTTGTCCTTGTCTAAATACAATTTTGCACATTTACAGCTCATAACGTTTTCAATGAAATTAGGACAGTTTCATATGTTGTATCATTGCCTAGGAGACATGCTATGCTTTTTAATCCTAGGCAAAGAAAGTTTCTGCTTTCTATTTATTGTTAATGGATGAGATATATATAGTACACCATATATACATGAGCTTGTATCATCATTTAAGCGTGCAAAGTGGGGATACTAATGGTAGGGCCAGAAATGTAGAGAGAGATTGAGACAGGAAAATACATCAATCTTAGCCACTACCCTAATGCCAAAGCAAACAAAGTTTCAAGGGACATTGCCTATTCATTAATGGAGGCATATGTTTTTTACTCAAATTTACTTTTTTAATGTGATGTTTTTTACTCAATTATTGTGAGATAT